AGACAGTGATGCAGCTGGTCAAGATGCTCTCAATGATGCAGCTGTAGAAGTTGCTGAGGATCCTAGGTGACATGCCAAACCTCCTCAGCCTCCTCAGGAAGTACAGCCACCGTTGGGCCTTCTTGACCAGCTGTGTGGTGTTAAGTGTCCAAGTGAGGTCCTCACTGATGTGGACGCCCAGGTATTTGAAGCTGCTCACCCTCTCCACCTCGAGCCCCCGAATGAACAGTGGCCGATGACATCTCCTCTTCTTCCTCATGTCCACTATCATCTCCTTCGTCTTGTCCGTGTTGAGGCTGAGATTATTGTCCTTGCACCATGACACCAGATCAGCCACCTCCCTCCTGTAGCTTCGTCCCAGCCAGTGATGAATTGAAACACACATTGAAGTCCGGACTTATTTATGTACACAAAGTGCTTTGAAGTGTGATTTTTCTTTTTTTTTGGCCAGCCAACACCTAGGAGCCCACAACCGGTTCCCACTGATCGGGTCAGAACCATGTGTCTGTAGCACCGTACACCTCGCAGTGAACCTAATTCAGCTTATTGCTCTCCAATCAGTTGAGTACACCACACCACTTTGAAACCCAATCTTAACTGCGAGGATGCAAGTCCGTCTGCTTCTACAGAAACTACTTCAATTTCACGTGTCAACTTAACCTTTTTTTTTTTTAGCATATTGAGTCTGGTTCACTACTTTTTGAGCATCAATCAGCTGTAGACCCACAAACAGTACAGACCTTGCTTTACAGTCTTATCATAAATTTTGTCCAATCTAGACACATTTATAGCTCAAAATTTAGCCCTTCTCAATCTTGTCTATCAATTTATAACTTTTAAAACCCAATCAGCTTTATTATTCAAAACAACAAACATGGAACAGCATAAACACTTAAACATCAGACATGTAAAAACAACATCCCTGTATCTGGCACAGATATAAAACAAGTTATTTACATCAGTGTTAGTAATAGTGTTGGTGTTAGTGACATCAGCGTTCTTCCACCACCTGTCAGGATAAAACCAATTATCTGGTTCCCCTCTACACAAATTCTTGGAGGACAGCCAAGATAGGAGAATTAAATATAAAATAAAATTCTCCCACCTTAGGCTCCTACCTGCGTGATGCCAGAAACGAAATCTGCAGTAGTTGTTAGTCTGATGTGAACTAAATTAATTCAGGCAAATCATCCCAATTCAAATAATCATTTAATATTACAATAATTCTGAGCAATTCAATAAGTTTATGAGACAGTCCAGCAATCTGGTAGATAGGGAACAGAGGAACAAAATCACCCCTTGTGCAAAGGAATAAATATAGTATTAAATAAGAAGATTGTCACAGAGTCAGTCATTGTGACCACAAGGTAGTCACTTCTGTCAGAGTCCAGAGTACTAAGCGGGTCCCCTCTCTATCCATCCAGGTCCAAACGCACACTTGCGACTGTAGCACCATCATCCTTCCCTAACCCACAGCTATCCTAACTTTTATCTTCTCCCAGTTACATACAGTGCCTTGCGAAAGTATTCAGCCCCCTTGAACTTTGCGACCTTTTGCCACATTTCAGGCTTCAAACATAAAGATATAAAACTGTAATTTTTTGTGAAGAATCAACAACAAGTGGGACACAATCATGAAGTGGAACGAAATTTATTGGATATTTCAAACGTTTTTAACAAATAAAAAACTGAAAGTATAAATGCACCTGCACTGTGATAGTCTCAGAGGTCTGTTTAAAGCGCAGAGAGCATCATGAAGAACAAGGAACACACCAGGCAGGTCCGAGATACTGTTGTGGAGAAGTTTAAAGCCGGATTTGGATACAAAAAGATTTCCCAAGCTTTAAACATCCCAAGGAGCACTGTGCAAGTGATAATATTGAAATGGAAGGAGTATCAGACCACTGCAAATCTACCAAGACCTGGCCGTCCCTCTAAACTTTCAGCTCATACAAGGAGAAGACTGATCAGAGATGCAGCCAAGAGGCCCATGATCACTCTGGATGAACTGCAGAGATCTACAGCTGAGGTGGGAGACTCTGTCCATAGGACAACAATCAGTCGTATACTGCACAAATCTGGCCTTTATGGAAGAGTGGCAAGAAGAAAGCCATTTCTTAAAGATATCCATAAAAAGTGTCGTTTAAAGTTTGCCACAAGCCACCTGGGAGACGCACCAAACATGTGGAAGAAGGTGCTCTGGTCAGATGAAACCAAAATCGAACTTTTTGGCAACAATGCAAAACGTTATGTTTGGCGTAAAAGCAACACAGCTCATCACCCTGAACACACCATCCCCACTGTCAAACATGGTGGTGGCAGCATCCTGGTTTGGGCCTGCTTTTCTTCAGCAGGGACAGGGAAGATGGTTAAAATTGATGGGAAGATGGATGGAGCCAAATACAGGACCATTCTGGAAGGAAACCTGATGGTGTCTGCAAAAGACCTGAGACTGGGACGGAGATTTGTCTTCCAACAAGACAATGATCCAAAACATAAAGCAAAATCTACATTGGAATGGTTCACAAATAAACATATCCAGGTGTTAGAATGGCCAAGTCAAAGTCCAGACCTGAATCCAATCGAGAATCTGTGGGAAGAACTGAAAACTGCTGTTCACAAACGCTCTCTATCCAACCTCACTGAGCTCGAGCTGTTTTGCAAGGCGGAATGGGCAAAAATTTCAGTCTCTTGATGTGCAAAACTGATAGAGACATACCCCAAGTGACTTACAGCTGTAATCGCAGCAAAAGGTGGCGCTACAAAGTATTAACTTAAGGGGGCTGAATAATTTTGCACGGCCAATTTTTCAGTTTTTTATTTGTTAAAAACGTTTGAAATATCCAATAAATTTCGTTCCACTTCATGATTGTGTCCCACTTGTTGTTGATTCTTCACAAAAAATTACAGTTTTATATCTTTATGTTTGAAGCCTGAAATGTGGCAAAAGGTCGCAAAGTTCAAGGGGGCCGAATACTTTTGCAAGGCACTGTATCCTGTACACTCCCCTCCTTCTGGGACTTGTCTGAGATGTCCAGTTCATGAACTTCCAGGTTGCACTGACCTAGCGCCCATTTCCTTTTCTAAACATAAACAGAGCACACAAACAGTTCACGTAAGGCTGAAGTTATGTCCATTTACCATTTAAGGAAGGTTTCTCTCTGGATGTTTACCCATAAATTAAACAAGGAGGACACAAGCCAAAATGTTTTTACTTGAGCAAGTTATCAGTTCCCACGGTCTCTATGCACAAACATCTCCAAACATAGAAGAGAAACAGATCTCCCCAAGATTATATAAACACTTAGCTAACCCTTACATGACTACTGCAAATAATATCATGTCATTATATGTAAACTACACACCCTACTATTACATATCACCTCGGGACTGGTACCTTGGTTGTTTTTGGCCACTACAATTTCAACCAGATTATGCCAATATTTTTTTTTCCTCTTTTGGAGAAAAAAGTGGTGGCGTATCGTTCTGGTGCGTTCTGGCAGCACTACACCTATGTTGCAGACTAAGTCAGATCTCCACCTTCAAGACTTGTAGTTAATTCAGACCTTCACCCTCCAGACTCCAGGCAGAATTTAGACCCACCACAGAATCCAGACTTAGACTAAATCCAAACCTTTACATTCCAGACTCGCAAATTGAATCCAGACCTCCAGGCATAGAGATACCTTTTCCATTTACGTGAGCTCATATACACAATATTGTATCAACTAAGGGCTATTTGAGGGTTCAGACTTATTTTAGGGTTCAGGGTACAATCAAGTTTAGGTTACTGTTAGGATAAGGGGCTAAGGAAAGGGCTATGTCAATGAGGATACCCACAACTACAGAAAGACAAACTTGGCCTTGTGTGTGCATGCAGGACTCAGAGGGTGTGGCCATCATGCTGGGCGTGTGCAATAGTGGCCTGCTGGTCTACAGAGACCGACTGAGGATCAACAGATTCTCATGGCCAAAGATCCTGAAGATTTCCTACAAAAGAAACAACTTCTACATCAAGATCCGACCTGGAGAGGTGAAACTGTTTAAATCTCTGTCTCCAATTTGACCAGTTTAAATCTGTCTCCAGGTTGACCAGTTTAAATTTGTTTCCAGTTTGACCAGTTTGAATCTACGATTGGTTTTAAGCTGGTGAATCACAGAGCAGCAAAGAGACTGTGGAAGGTTTGCGTGGAGCATCACTCTTTTTTCAGGTCAGTCTCTCTTTCATTTAAGGTCACGATATGATGTGTGGTAAATTTAACGTCATGATGTGATGTGTGGTACATTTAACGTCATGATGTGATTATGTGTTTAAGGACCTAATATAATATGTGTTGTGTTCAAAGTGACATGACGTACAACACAGTGTGACATGATGTAACTTGTCATGCCTCATGTCGTTTCAGAAAAATCACCAAAATTGTTAAATCACAACACACTGTGTGACATGTTGACCTTATTTTCCATAATGTGATCATGTGGCATGATGTAACTTTATGTGATGTAATAAGTTGTGACCTGATACAACAAACCACAATGTGATTGGACAGAATATGAACATGTGAAACTGTGTAACTTTACATAACACGACATGACTTGGTGTAACATACATGCCGTTACGCACATGTGAAACAACATCACAGATGTTTCTACCTCCCCTTGTTTGCCTCTCAGACTGGTGTCTCCAGAAGAACCCCCTAAGAAGTTTCTGTCTTTGGGTTCTAAGTTTCGATACAGCGGTCGGACACAAATTCAGAGTCGCAGAGCCAGCGCTCAGATATCCAGACCTGCGCCGCATTTCCCACGATGCATCAGCAAGAGGAACATGCTGAGCCGCAGCCTGGACGGAGGTACTGATCTTAGTAGTACTGGTCCCAATAGAAGTACTAGCCCCTGACATAGTCCAATCACATATAGTGCTGGTTCCTGAGGTACTACTGGTCTCAGTATTAGTACTACATGTCCCATCAGTTAGTACTCATCTCAGTTGTTTAATACTGCTCTTTGTGGTAATACTACTGGTCTGTCTGGTAGCAGTGCTTGTCCCAATAGTCATACATGTTCTACATGTGGTAGTTGTGGTCCATGTTGTACTTCTGGTCCCAAGTGCCTGCAATACTGGTGTGAGTGGAGCCCAGCTATTAGATCAGGCGTTCGGGTTCAGGAGTCCTGCTCTCCAACTGGTCAGTTGTTTTTATACTTGTCAATGACCAGAATTTTTGATTGGTCCTTAGCTCCGAGGTCCACACCCAGCTCCTCTCTGATTGGCTCTCCAGAATTCACAGTGACCTCCAAATCCAACGGAGTTGCACAAACAGGTAGAGCTCATTAGTATAGGAACACTGCCGCAGACTGTAGTACTACTTCAGCAATACTGTAGCACTGCTCTATGATTGGCTACAGCTTGTTGGGAATGCTGCACTCTGATTGGCTCAAGAGGCTCTGCTTCATTCAGACACACCTGGGATTAATATATTGCTGTCCAATGAGATCATTTTACTGCCAGCAAAGTCATGTGGTCAGACCTACATCCTGTTGTCAAAAACATGATTGACAGGGAATTTCAAAGAGTGACAGGTGTAAATTATAACCAGACAGGTAAAAAACCACCCGTTCACATTTTCTGTTCAGTAGATTTCAGAAAACTTTAGTATCATGTTTCAGCAGTTTACAAATATTTAAGCTCTGACCATGACCCAAAAGACGCCCTGCCCGTTTTGTCATAGCAGGCCATGGCTTCATGGAGCTTCAACTCTTTACTGGTACAGTCAAAGCAAAACTTGCTTCCATTTCATTTCTATGTAAAAGAGGGCATGACACATTCCACCTCCTTTGTGTGGAAACCATGGTGTAACTTATAGCTTTGTGGACTGTTGTTGTAGTCTCCAAAGCTTGCTTTTGGCTGCACAGCCAGTAAATATTGCTAGATGGATTTTGGTGTGACTGCACCATCAATCATATTTTATCTTTCCCTGGTCATGTTAGGTTGTTTGTGAACTCAAGAGGAAGAAGTTCTGACTGCACAGATTACTCCCTGATGGTTTTGTTAGTAACATTAGCATTGTTAGCATTTTGACTGTGAAGGTTCATCATTGTTGATTAACCAAATTACACAGTGAAGGTGCTGCACCAGCATTAAACTTGTCACATAGAACATTAGGAGTGCACCTCATTAGTCCCAAAGCAAAGAATGAACAAGGATGGCACCAGGTGCAACAAGATTCCACCGTTCAAACTCAGAAAGCTGCAACAAATAAGTTTGAGGTTGAGGACAGAACAGCTGGTTAGTCAGCAGAGGAGGTCTACCACAACGCAGACAGTTCAACACAGTTCACACCTGGAGTCATGTAATTTGAAGGACTGTCATATGACTCCAGGTCAAGTGAAAACCCACATTACCTCTAATGACTATCCAGGTGTGAACAGGCCTACAGGTGTTAGCAGCTAAGTCTGCACCAGTCAGTAAGATTAAACTATTCCATCTAAATTACAGATGTTTGTTAGTGCTTATTAGCACTGTGACTGTTGTTACCATTGTTAGCACTTTTAGCATGTTTGGGACTATTGTTAGCACTGTCTGTTAACAAGCAGTGGGATGCTGAATAAAATCATGTCATGGCTTTGTGGTCGGTCTGAATGTTATTATGCTGCTTGGTCCAGGCTGTGTGCATGTGCCCTGAGCTCCAATTGGCTGAGCAGACTGGCTGAGAGCATCACAGTGGTCGCTATGGTTACAGCTGGCTGATGTCTCCATGGTTACCTTTGCTGTGGATGTTGATGCTAATATTTCAGTGAGAACATTACAACTGGTGTGTGTGTGCAGATATGGGCTCTGGGCTGTATGCAGCTTCTAAAGCCATTGCTGTCAGTGACCTCATCACCATGGTAACACCTGAGAGAAGGATGGAGGAGAGGAGGGAGTATCAAGGTAAGAAACAGCCAGTCAGAGGAGGAGACAGGCCGATCAGCTGACCGCAAGCCTGAAAGTCTTCTTTCTTCCCCTTCTCCTCCATTCCTGTTTCCCACCTCCCAGTTGAAGAGGTGCTGGTGGTGGAGGCGGAGGCTCAGCAGGTGATGGAGCTGGTTCAGGAGGAACAGCAACAGCAGCAGCGCAGCAGGAGGAGGAGGAGGAGGAGGAGGAGGAGGAGATCAGAGTGACAGACATTTCACAGCAGAGCCCTCCAACTCTTCAAAAGCAGGACACCAAGGTAGACCTGTCTCACCTGTTCCTCACCTCTTACTGGCATTTAAGAAGTGAAGTTATAACCACAGCACCTTGTCATGACCCTTTGCACAAGCATTATACCACATTTAAAAGACAACCACTGACCTAAATTGCTGTATAGTCCCAAATAAAACCAGCTGTTTTGGTTTCTTTTCTTTATTCTCTTCCAAACTTCCCTGTCCTTTTTCATGCAGCTGTCTCAGCTAACACTGAAAACAGCAGCTTGCTAGGGTGCCAGTCAGCCACAGCAATAGTTCATAGAGCTGAACCACATGTACTGACTGACAGCTGAGCTGCAGCGCGAGATGCACGTAAAAGGCGCATAAAAAATATACATCTACAAACGTATTTAAAAATGTGCTCTGTAAAGAATAAAGAAACATGACTTTACAACTAAATGTATTTGTTTATCTAGTTTAAATTCACGATGCATTACCACATTGTCTCATTATTAAGAGTTGGTTTTATATATAATTCAAGATAATCCAGGTTTATTTTAGGGGCATCAGATTGAAATAAGAGTATTCTCATGAAAGTTCTGTAAGATTTGAGTCTTATAGACTCTAGTTACTTTATCAGTTTTAGTTACCTCTCATGCCTTTAGTTCCCTTTAGTTACCTTTCATAACTTTATCTTACCTGATTACAGCTGTATTGATTATTGTGCATTACTGAGCCCTGGTTATTTTCTAACACAGTCATTCTCCTTGCTTATATGTCTTACAATTTGAATGAGGTGATACATTAGCTTATTGTCTCACACACAGACACACAGACACACACACACAGACACACACACACACACACACCTAGACAAAGAGGCTCCGGTTTACATTAAATGGAGAATAGTGCAAGACTTGATTCTTATAGGCCCTAGTTACTTTATAATCTTTAGTTACTTTTCTGTTCATCATTGTCTTTCAGGTACTTTTCATATGTTTACCTTCCTTGCTTACACATGGTAAAACTGTACTGATGATTGACCAGAATTACTGAGCCTTCATTACTTTAATACATTTAATTCCATTTGTGCTGATGGGAGTCAGGTGATACTGAAGTATAAACTGATCACTTTAACTTCTGTATACACTCAGTGTCTGCACGCAGGAGGTGCTTTGTTATGTAATGGGATTACACAGATGGGGGGTCTGCGGCACAGAAAACCCATTGTTTGGTTGCCGCCTAGAAAGTCACATGACAACACTTACACACCTGGTTTCGCGAGATCTTTGTTTGGGGCGGACCCAGCCCAAAATGCATAAATGTATTGTGAAATCATGACTCGGGAGTCAGTGGATGGAACTCCTGCGGGAGAGCTGTCTCTTTGATCCCAGCACTGTAAGGCCTACCTGTGATCAAACATGCAGTAAACCTTCCGCTGATTTTAAACAGTCCTCTCCTGTCGTCACTTCTCGTGCTTCCAACAAAAGAATTGGGTTAATTTCTAACAAAGAGGTTAGATTCTAACAGTTCTAAATACCCATGTTTGTGTTTAGACTGAGCTGACTGACACAGCTGTGGACGGAGACCTGACAGCGACTGAGGTAGTGCTAATCTCTACGTTGATAGTACCACTAGTGCTCATGCTGTATGGATAACACTAACCTGTCTGTCTCCATCTTTATCTGTCTGCAGTCTGATCAGGATGAAGATTTGAAAACTCAGGTAAATCTCATTACAGTGTCCTTGATATGCTTTTCTCTCCTTGTGCTTCACCTGTCTGCTCACTTGTCTGCCTTCAGGAGGCACTGGGGAGTCCTGAAGAGGTGCAGAAACCTCAGAGTACTGTCAGTGCTCTGAGACGCTCCTTCTTAGAGGAAGGAGGTGTGGGAGGGGGGCTGACAGAGTGGGAGAAACGTCTGGCCTCTTCACCTGTGCGACAAGTTGATGACTTCCCAATGATTGAGCCTCTGGAGCCTGAGGAGGTGAGGACAAAGCAGACAGTCTGCACATATGACACATATCTGCAACAAATATGAAACATGAGAAACTGCCATTTGCTGTCGAGGAGAGCCGAGAGCTGGACAGCAGCGATAGCTGCAGATAGGAAGGATAAACATGCAGCCCCATCTCTAATCTCATCAGTCACATGGTGTTCACAGATGTGAAGCGGGCTCTGATGCAGGTTCACGTGCTGGGTGACTGTTGCTACTGAAGCTGTTTAAATTCACACCTCTGTCTGAAACATGTCTGTGTGTCTGTCTCTCAGGCCCTGACAGTGGACAACAGCTCTTCAGAGGTAGGTTGTCAGACAAACACGTTGAAAACATTCATTCTGCCCTGAAACAGGACATGATGTTACAGCTGTCATGCAGTTAATCTATTATTCTGAATGATCAGAGGCTGTAGTTGGATCAAACCGAAATGGGAAACAGGTTTTAATTTGTTGTTCTGGTTTTGTTAAATGTGAACTACACCTTAAATGTAAAGTGACGGTACTTTCTAGATCATGCCTCCTCACGTATAACCTGATTGGTTAATATGTGTTAGTCTGTGTGTGTGTGTGTGTGTTTGTGTGTGATGTTGCTCACCTATGCACTCCAGGAGGGTGGGGTTGTAATAAAGGAAGCTCTTCAGCCAGTCAGAAAGAAGAGCTACACTGTAGGGCGGAGCTACGATACCACCTCTGGTAGGGTCGTTACCATGACGACCATGGATGACACCTCAGATATTGCTCTAACAACCAGTACTGAGACAGGTGTTGTCACAGGGGGGCTGTTGATCACAATTCAGGAAGTGAAGACACCAAGCTCACCATCAGAAAACATCTGTGATGTTGTCTGTGAGACTAGAGGAGCCAGGGCGCAAACTCTAGACCTTGGTCTGGGGGGAACATCTGTGATGTCCCCTCTGGACCCCTTACACCTTCCTAAATCACCTTTGGATGAGCTGAGCCTAAGTCCTGGCAGGAAGTCGCCCTCCACAGCCAGAGTGGTATGCGGATTGGGTGATTAGTGGTCAGCATGGAGACAGCATGCAGTGTAAAGTCGGTGGTGTCATGTTGACACATTTCACCCTTGCAGTGCTGAAGCACAAAATGTGGCTGAATGCTAGTTCATCTGATCCAGTTCAAACTGAACACCTCAGCTCCAAAAACTTACACTTGAGCGACCAGATCCAGATCAGCTCTGACATGTTGGTCTGTTCATTTAGGATTTTAACCTCACCCTGACATGCTGCAGAATCTAGTTCTGTCAGAACCAGGATCTGTAGAAAACCATGCCCATTCACTGAGTGCAGCCTCACACGAGGCGGTATGGAGTTGCATTGCCTGCAGTAGGACACAGTGTGGCGCTGCCGTGAGGTTAGCAGGAGGCAGGATGGACATGCAGTTAAGCTGCACCATCACTCACACATTGGAAGTGCTTGGTGTACAAAAAGCACACAGAGGAGGCAGCAGAAACACTTTGAAAAATGGAAAACTATGGTCCAAAACTCCAACACACAGTAGACAATTAGGGAGTTACTGGCTACACTGTACAGTGTGTCTGACCCATGGTAAAACAGCAAATCTAAACTACTTTAAAGTGAAGTGCCTATTCAATAGGACTGATGTAATAGATAATAGAGTCTGTATTTTAACTGTGTTTACTTGATGTGTTCTCTATTTTGGTGGAGTTCTGTTTGGAACTAGTGATCTTCCATTGTTTTTTTGTGGAGCATTTTACACACATAGCTGCAACAGAATAGATTTAAAGCATAAAAATACACTTCAGGTTGCAGCTACAAATGTAAAGTGCAAGTGATACCCAAGCTGATATGCTGGCAGTGTAGACAGCTGGACTGATTACTAAAGGGGAGTATTTCACATGCATATCAAAAACGCAGCTGAAACCCTTGCAGTGTAGACACAGCTTTAGTCCAGCAGGAGGCAGTATGGAGCTGTATTGTTCACTTGAACTCTGCTCAGCTTCTCCTTTTCCTTCTCCCATTTTGTTTCCACTTTGATCAAAGTGGTGCACAGTGAACATGATTTTTATTTTGTTGTGTTCGTTGGCTTATTTACCCAGTGTTCATCAATAGTTTTTTTATTGATGGCTCGAACATTGGGTTTATTGTTCTTTTATTGCACTTCACTTCCTGTTGGTCAACCCTTCTTTTGATTGGTTACTTTTGTTTTCTGGTACTTTTCACCTTGTTTGAAGCAGTGACCTTCATCGATGTTAAGAGAAACCTAGAAATCATGGAGTTTAAAAGGTAAAAGTAATCCAGAAGCAATATGATAATGGGCACAGCACAATGGGCAGTACAGTGCGTTGACAAGTGAATATGCTTACCACAGGAACAGAAGAAATCGGGTCAAATGGGGCATGAGTGTTTCTGACTTCCTGCACAGACTGTGAAGGCTGGTGGATATTTCCTGAACTTTCCATTTTGACTGCAGCTTTATTTCACCACTCCCTGCTGCTGCTCTCACCTGCTGCTGCTCTCACCTGCTTACCAGCCAAGGCGCAGTACATCTCAGACAAGCCTACTCTGTACTGCCCTTGTGCAATAGAAATACCTAACAGCAGACAAATTACTAATGAAGCTAGGCTTCACACAAGGTGTAACTACACCCCTCCAGTCATGCGCCTCTGGCTCCGACCCCTGCATGGCTACAGTCTGGCTGTCAGACTCTTAAGTATCTGCTCAGTAAAATGTATTCTTTTTTACTTTGTTACAGTAATCGCTGTAAAATCAGAGATACGATTCAAATTTCTGGTGTTTCATTGCCTCTTGTTTATGTCTCATAGCCTAAACCTACATTTGATGAAATGTCTCCTGAACTGACCGCTCTGCTGAAGTCGGCCAGAGAACAAAAGACTTTCAGACACAACCTGCTTAAGGTGCCTGTCTAACCCTGGCCATCTAATGGTATACCTGTCAGTCCTCTTCTCTACCTGTCTGTCCACCTTTTCCTTCAGGTTTAGACTTCAGGGTAACTAACCCCTTCATTCTATAACTGTCTGCTCTCCCAGCATATTTAAAAAATGCAATTGTGTAGCGATGAGAAGGGGGCGTGGCCTCATCGCTAAACGTAATGTGTGACATGGATGGCCACAGGTCGGTGGCACCATACACATCACCTGTCACCTGAGACAGCCAGTAGCAGAATTCAATTGCAGTAGCTGGGTTTCAACCAGTAGACGGGAGTGTGTATGAATATTCATCACAAGAAATGCAGAATTAAAATACTGCAACAAAAATGTCAGATTTGGAGCTGGACCAATACAGAGCCACCATCACACATAAGATGCTACATATTTCAGACATGCTCATGAAAACTTTAATGAATAAATTAATTCTCAGGTTTTATTGTTTGGTCCTGCCCCCTCTCTCCTGTACCTGATGTCCCTTACCTGTTTCAGACACCAGAAAATGTGGAAAAGCTGTTCCTGATGACGGAGTCAGATGACCAGGACCAGCCAACAGTGGACCAGCCTCAGGTAGCTGCAGGAAGTGTAGTGGGCCCGCCTCCTTGTAACAGTAACAATGCTAATGCCAATCATGCCAGTGATGGTCATGTCAGTGATGATGAGTTCAAAAGCCAGGCCAGCAATGGTAATGGCAGCAAGGCTAGTGAAGATGCTATCAGTGTGTTAGCAAAGGACGCCATGGAGGCTGCTGTCAGACAGACTGACAGACTCAAAGCTATGATCCTAATCAGGATACTGTTAATGCTAGCACTGCAGTTAGCCATGTTGAGCAGGAGCTAACTAGAACAGAGGTTAACAAACTGAACACCAAACCCCACTCCGTCCTGGTCTCTCGACTTTCTGGGTCTCTGTCTCACTGTTACCATGATGACGAGGATTCAGACAACTCAGAACAGGATGGAGGAGAGTGGAGGTTCAGTGAAAACTCCCCTCCCCCATCTTTACCTCACTTCATCTCAGGGCATACCCACTCTAGGACCAGTCAGATGCCGCCAGCTGGCAACACTGATGATGATGAAGAGCCTAACCCTCTGCAGGAGGTAACACATGAGACCAGTGTCTACTGCCCCAGTGAAGCCAGTGACCCCTTCCCCGTAAAGTCTGTCCCAGTGAAACCAATTAAACTTCCTCGGCTGCCCCAGCGAACTGGCTCGTCTCACGGGTGCTGACATGAAGGAAACAAGTCCAGAGTAGTTGTAGAGTTTAGATATCAGCTTGTATGTTGGAAGAAATAGAAGAATTTAACCAAATCGTGTCATTAAGCTTTTGGATTTATGGATTAGTAAACTATTTTGTCTGTGGATGTTGTAGGAGGTCCCAGTGGTGAGGAGGACTCTCACATATGAAGCTCCAGGGGTGAGGGACATCCTTTGTGTGTGCTGTCACACTTTATGAATTTTTTCTTTTAGAATAATCTCTTTCAAATGAATATTGATGAAATGGGTCCAGTCTTTAGTAACCCTTTACAAAATGACACAAGTTGCCACCAGAACAAAAATAAGCATATAAACAAAAATACCTCTGTACATTAGATTGTGGTGCTGTTTCTTTGTCAGTGTGATTCATCAGCTTGTGATTTTACTGACTTCTTTCCAGAAAACACCTACAGGCTTCACCAGCTTCTGCATCTCACACACACAAACAAATCAGTAACAAATTACAGTAGTAAGGCTGCAGAATAGTGATTCAAAGCTCACACTAATAAACGTGTGTTTCAGAGCCGGGTGGATTCTGACTCTCCTTCAGGTCTACTGTTGAGCTCCCAGACCTTCACTGCAGAGACCAGCACCACCACCACCACCAAGGTATCCGGTCACCACAGTAACACAGGTCACTACTGCACACATCTCCAAGGGTTAGGGGTTATGTTCAGGAAGAGACTGACCCCCCTTCCTTAATGGATAAGTCTAAGGCTGATAACACGTCACCACCATCCACATCGCCATCTGTGGTGCTTTTTTGATAACAGCCACTAGATGGCACTGTGATGGCGCAGCCTCCATTTTGGACTGAAAATGCCAATAGAAACAATACAAACCCTACAAATAACTTGATTGACACAGACATGACAGAGAAAGTGAATTCCAAGTGGAATATAAGAAACAGTGCTTGGCACTTAACTGTAAAAACTGTCAGTGTGACAGTGAGCAGCTTGTAAACAGTTATATTAGCAGGATTATCTAGTTATTTCCACCGAAACCTTTCCTTTGTACTGCACCATATATCCTATATAGGCTGCTCATCTTTAGACCTACCTCATAGTGCTCATTTGATTAATAAGCAAGTAAGTAAGATTACTTGGTCCAAATGCTTGGGACTACAGCCTGTCTTTAGTCTAAATGCTCCCCTTTTGTTATAGACTTAATGTAGCTCTCAGCAGTTTTTGTTAATTTTAATAGTGAGTAGCTTCAATGAAGGAATAAATAAATGCATATAGCCTATAGTCTACTGCCTTTTACTGATGGGTGCAGAATCTCAGAAATACATCACTGATCGCTACATGCTCTCAGCGGCTCCATCAGAGCTAGCAAGTTCAAGAGGCTAACTAACATGTAGGGTTATATGCTGAATAAATATCAACATATCTACATCAAAATGAAAAAGCTATTAGAAGAGTCAGAAAGAAGCTTAACAAACCCCCAAATTACACACACACATATAAAATATAAATTCCCCACTCGCCCAAGCGATAGCAACATCAGGAAGAAGGAACATGAGAAGCTTGAGAAATACCAAGGGCTGAAAGAAGAGCTAGAAAAGATGTGGAAGGTGAAGGCACAAGTGGTCCCCGTGGTAATATGAACACTGGGGGCTGTGACCCCCAAACTGGGAAAGTGGCTCCAACAGATCCCAGAAACAACATCTGAGATCTCTGTCCAGAAGAGTGCAGTGCTAGGAACAGCTAAGATACTGCGCAGGAACCTCAAGCTCCCAGGCCTCTGGTAGAGGACCCGAGCTTGAAGGAAGGCATACAAAACCGCCCCAAAGTGGGGGGCGAGTGGGGAATTTTTTTTTAATATACTTAGAGAGAGAGAGACTCATAGGTATGTGACATTCAGTCATGTTTCTGTAAATCTTAAAGATCTGACTTCTTTGTGTTGTTTTTTTACAGATGATAAAAGGGGAAATTTCACAATCCAGAATCGAAAAGAGAATTGTTATTTCTGGGGACACTGAAATTGACCATGACCAGGTAACTGTCATTAAAAACAGTCTCAATCGGGAACATATTTCTATTGACCCAAACTAGGCTGTGACAGACTCAGATTAGTCCAAGACAGACTAATACATAACCTTATTAAACTGCAGTAGATTTATACTGACTCAAATTAGACTAGGACAGATTTATATAGAACAGGATTAATCCAGGACCCACCTTGAGTATAACTTCTGGACAGATCTGTGCATTCCAGGACTAGCCGGTGACAGATGTATACAGACCTGGACTGAATCTGGTCATACCTGGGCCTGGTCTACCCACTTTTAATACAGGGTTGGCCCTGGATCCGGTTAATCCAGACCTAGACCAGGTCCTGACCCCTGTGTCTCTCTTGAAGGCCCTGGCAGCAGCAATCAGTGAGGCACAGCGGGAGCATCCTGAGCTGTCTGTCACTCAGGTCGTCGTCCATAAAGAAACTGAGGTCTCTTCTGATCCTGTGATTGATTAGTGACATCACAGGTAACAGGGAGGATCTGGCCCTGCCCTTACAGGTGGAGTCTCAGGTTGGATGCAGGTCAGCTGATTGGTGCATGGCAGCATTCATTATATTGTTTTTGCATGTTTTACATGTGTCTGAGTCCAGACTCAGTGAGGAGAGACAAACATAGAAAGATGCTCAGAGAAGCTCAGGTCTCATTAGTTGGAAGCAGAACACAAAGAAAAGGAAATGTGCTGAATGGATAAAACTTGAATGGGACCACAGAGGACAGAAAAACTCTGTGGTGATTGGTTGGCGGAAACTTCCGTAAGATTGTAAAAGTGTGATTGGACTAAAAAACTGAAGATTCTGAAAGTGTGAGAAGGAAGTAAACTGCTTCCCCAGTCTCTTATATGATCATTCTTGATGTCCTTAATGCTCACTCGACCTGGAAGTCATTCTGGTCAAACGATATAACTGACAAGGACAGAAGGCCATCCTTTCCAGATGTTCATTAGGAACCAGCATGCCCATTATCAGAAATTAGTTGGTGACTGCATGCTTCAGACAAAGAGTCAGAGGAAAGGATGTCTCATGTCATTAGTAACATGTTTCCTTGAGTCATCTCTCCTCCCGTGTTTTCCTCACGTAACTTCATCGCATCATACATGAGCAGGACTAATAGTCAAGGAAAAGATGCAAGTGAGACAACTCTGCTTATAAGAGACTTGGGAAGCAGTCATGGAGAGCCCTTCTGGGCACTCAACTGATCAGTGATCGATCATGTAACAACATAACTGACGAATGATTCACTGGAGTTCTAATATGGCCACCAGAAGGCAGCACGTTATGACATAACATTAAACTGTTGACCATCATGTGAGACATCACTGGAGTGTTGCTCTGCCCTGCATTTTGTTCCTCTGTGTCCAGTACTGGTTCTGTATCTGGTTCTTGGTGTTTTTAAGAAAACAAAATCCAGATCTCCAGTTTGACTGAAGATAATCAAAAACTGTTCAGAGGACATATCAACATACAACATTTTAGAGAAGGCTTTGAAGCTTGTTGTGCTGTGCTAACACGCTAATTAGCATGAGCATGCAGTTCTTCAGCAGACAGAGAAGCTTAGCCTAGCTTCTCTGTCTGTTGGTAGATGTAAATCCTCCCCCTGGTGGTCATGTTCAGTTTTACCTTAAGTTGAGCTTATTTATTGGCCTGAAATCACAGGTGGATGTTTACATGGGGCCTTTACTGGGAAAAATAGTCAGTTAAAAGCTTCATTTTGTACCAATAAAATCAGAACCTGAAGTGACTTGACTCACTTGTTTAATTTCTGTCTAATTTTTTTAATGAAATGTACTTTGTGTAAGTTGGGAATGTGATCACCAGAGCATGATTGTTTCTCAACATTATAAAATTAATTTGTATTTTAGTTTAACTTTTGAAGTTCTGTCTGGTTCAGTTATATTTTGATAATTTTCATATAAACATGATGACACGCAAGAAGTTAGAGTATACCATCATGAAATAATCAAATTAAAATGATCTCAGATTACAGGATTAAGTTTTGGACACTCAGACTCTAGTTTATTGTGTTCTTTCATATTTTGGGGATAGCTGCAGCTCAGGAGGTAGAGCAGGTCATTCACTAAGTTCAGCTGTTTGATCCCCGCTCCTCCAGTCCGCATGCCAAACTGTCCTTGGGCAAGACGCTAAAGCCCAAGTTGCTCAGCGATGTGTGTGAGTGAATGGGTAAACAGACAAATAGTGTTAAAGTGCTTTGCGTATGCTACAGTGCATAGAAAAGATATGTCCATTTACTGTTCTGTTCTACTTTATAGCTGCTTATGTCTCTTTTTCAGGACTGACTCTTGAAGCTCCTGCTGCATTATGGGAGTTGTAGTCCAGACTACAGCACCCTCAAATATATTGTTTGCAGTGACACGCAAGTGTAAAGGAAATGACGATTTACAACACACATGCATGTACATGCACACACAGCAGTACCTGTCTGTCTGACTGGGGGTGAGGCCTGTGTCTCAGGTAGCCTCACTCAACATTTGATTGATTGTATAATTACATTTAGTAGAAAGCTTTGCAATAGCAGTCACACTAAGGACAAAAATGACTTCTGTACATGAAGAAATATAATCTATATAGACAGGTTAGAGACAGACGGGACACTGCTGTGATGCAGAGTGGTCCCATAGCAACCACCCACATAGCAACCATCCAACCAGAGCCCATAAACCTCGGATTAATTTTCACAACAAAAATCAAAACATGAACTTCTCAGTTTACCTTCAACTTTAACAAGCTCCATCCTCAACACACCTGGCTTCATAACAGGACAGACATCTAACCGACTGGTAGACTCAGGTGTGTTTGCTCATGATTGTGTGATGGAAGACAATAGCTTTATAACTCATTCAGCAAATAGTTTACATCACATGTGACCTCTGATTTATATGTTTCACATGGTGATGTTTCTTGGCAAAGAGCTCTTAGGGCAGAGGCACACCAAGCTGACAAAGGCCGACTGCTGTGTAGCCTCACGTCCCCTTTGTCTGGGCTAGTCGGGTTGGAAAAGTGGCACTTGAACACACCACGGATGACAGCCAGTGGCCAACTAGCATGTACATTCTGCATTTGTGTGAGAAATAATTCCCCCTACCAGCAGGTGGCGTATTTGTAGTTGTCATTCAGAAAGGAAAAAAGAAGAGCTAGACCTCAAAAATACAAGCGTAAACAGACCAGCTGTCGTTCAATACAACTGCTTCTCATCGAGGATATGTTTGATAAGAAGCTACAAATGACACTGCAGTTCTCTGTCTCTGGTCTTTTGGTTGTGGAAGAAGAAAGGAGGTTGTGGAGGCGATAAACAAAATGGTGAAATTATGGATACTACAGCGACAGGCTGAAAGGACTTTCCTGAACTGTTCTCTTCTTGTGCATTAATTTACTAGGCTCAACAGCTAGTCAGTGGTCTCTCTCACCGACAAGCCCCAACCGACCCAACATGTCAAATCAACCGAAAAGCCAACAATAGGGGCCGAGTAGTGCCACGTGTGGGACAGCCAGCCTTCGGCTTGGTCTGTCTCTGCCCTTATCCTGACAGTCTCATGCAACTGTTTCCTGTCTGAAATGTAAAGTAGCATCAATGCTAGCACTGTAACAGCTTACTGTATAGTAGCAGATACTGAGCTCTGTTTACCCATAATGCAATAGTAATATGCCATTCTGCTTTCTCACCATAGAAATTCTTACTTTTCTCACCTGTTTTTATTTATTGATTTGTTATTCATTTATTTATTTGTTTGTTTACTGAAAAGGTCAGTGTTTGTAATCAGAGTCTGACCAACCACTCCCCCTGGTATCATATTACTTTTATTTTATTTAGCCAGGGATAGTCGCTTGAGGTTCAAAACATCTTTCCAGAAGAATCCCTGGTGAGGGGACAGCATCAATTTTAAACACTGACTACTCCCCCTGGTATCACAATACACACTGACCGCTGACCACCTCCCCAAGTCAAGCGCATTCCCAGTGGGTGTTGCCTTCAGCTATGATTGCGCCTGGTTTCCAATCGCGATTTTCATGGATAGGATCTCAAGGTGCAGCTCGGGGGTAGGATCGTTTCTGGTTTGGGGACCTCAGAATTGCTCCTCTGCTTTTTGCAGATGATGTGGTTCTGTTAGCTTCATCAGACCGTGACCTCCTGCATGCACTGGGGCAGTTTGCAGCCAAGGGTGAAGCAGTTTGGAGGAGAATCAGCACCCCCAAGTCTGAGACCATGGTTTTGTCAGAAAAAGGTGAATTGCTTCCTTTGGATTGGGAATGAGGGTGGTAGCCCAAGTGAATGAGCATAAGTATCTCTCATAAGTAGTTCTTGTTCACAACAGAGGGGAAAATAGAGCATAAGATTGACAGGTGGACTGGGGCAGCATCAGCAGTAATGTGGGTGCTGTACCGCACGGGTGTGGTGAAGAGGGAGCTGAGCCAGAAGGCAAAGCCCTCAGTTTCCCAGTCAGTGTTCCCCTATGGTCACAAACGTTGGGTAGTGACTGAAAGAATTAGATCATGAATACAGGCAACCAAAATTAGTTTTCTAATGTAGATGAACAAGATAAAGTGCAGAGTTTGAAAAGTCAGAGGGAGCTCGGAGTAGAGCTGCTGCTCCTTTGCATTGAAAGTATTCATTTGATGTAGTTCAGGCATCTGATTAGGACTCCTGGGCACCTTTCAATGGCAGGTTTCTGGGCATGTCTAACTGGTAGGAGGTCACGGGTTAGACCCAAGATACACTGGAGAGATTATATATCTCATTTAGCCTGGGAATGCTTTGAGGTCCACCGGGAGGGCCTGAAAAGCATCACTGGGCCTGCTGCCCCTGCAACCCAATGGATGGTTGGCCCTACCCGTGGTCTCATGTCACACACTGGCTACTCCCCATGGTGTTTTAATACAACCTTGTTTAGGCACCACCACTCAGCCATTCAGCCTGTTTTCCCCAGTGGCCACTGGTGGTACAGCAACACAAAATCCTCACGCAGCCCAAAAAGCATTTTCTTTTTCACAATGATAAAAGTGATGTCTCTAAAATTGTTGACAGGACACATCAAACTATAAACAAGATCAATTACTGTACTCTTTGTATTATCAATTTTTAATCCATGGAAGTTTTATATTTGTAAAACTTTCCCAGAGCCTAGAAAAACTTTCAGTTTTACCACGGCAATCTCAATTTAAAGCCTATGTGCCCTGCATGGGCAGTGGGGGAAATGGTAATGCACATATGCACTGGGCCACATGATTAATGTACATGTGCACCTGCACAATGCGGAAGCAAATTTGAAAGAACATTTTTTTAGGCAGATGCATTGGGCAAGTAACCTTCATTCAAGTGATTGGGCGTCCTGTTTTAGTTGAGGATTCAGGTTTTCCTCCTCTTGGTGAAATGTTGCTGTGCACTCTGGCCTCTTCCCCTGGTGTTACATTACACAGTGACCACCTACTGTCATGTTTCATGCTGTTTTATTGATGATAAATGCTTTGAATGTGTGTGTAACCACTGATCTCAAAAAATGATAAATAAATAACTGATAAATGATGAATAATCACCCGGCTTTATGTTTTTCTGTAAGCAAGGCAAGTTGATTTGCGTTGCACAGTTTTATAACTCCTAAATGTACCAATTCATTCAAATTAACTTATGCCTAAATTCTACCCAAAATGTAAATAAAGTAAAACAGTTTTTAATGGAAAATTAAATCTTCTAAAGCTTCACTGGAAAAGGGGGAAAACAGCCTTCTCAGTGTGTGTGGGGCTTCTGAATGACTTCTAATAATATATAAGTCTCGGGTGGTGCCATCAACTTGAAAATGACACTGGGACCCAAACCTACAGAAATACGTTACGGCTTACGATGTCTGTTTGTAAACTACCAGTAGTGAATACAACAAACCCTGAGTTAACATGTAGTCTATATGAAATGTATTCATTATAAAAGTACATGACAGAAATAATGAAATGTTGAGAGCGATGTTAAACTTCTCGCCACCTCGTAATGAACTTGTGTGAAACAAAGTCTGTCTATCAGCAGCATCAAATGTTATATATTCTTTAAGTTCAGAGTGGACAGACACAGGCAGCTACAGGTGTGTGGTGTATTGTGCAACAAACTGTATTAGCCACTTAGTTTATTTCATGTAAGGCATGAATAAATAACATTTGAAGAGTAGGCCGATCTGATTATATGCACTGATACGCAGGGCTGTGATGTACTTCAGTCACACAGTAACTTTCAGTAGAAAGTAGAATTTGTGCTGGTTCCTTCTCCCTCCTCCATCCCCCTGTCTTTTTCATTATGTTTACACAGTACAGCCCTTTTCTGTATCTTATTCCTCCTGTTCCCTTGCGCTCTGCTGTTGATTTAAACTCCCTCTTCACACATTTCTAAACAGCATGTAGTTGAATTTCCCATCCATTTCTTCCACCTGAAGAATCAGTTTCTCTCTAAGTGGGTTTCCTTTTCTTCTCCTTTTGATTTTCTTTGTCTCCTGTTTTCATCTCCCCCGCAGCAGGTCACATGGTGGTCCCCCTCCCCCCTCAGCATGTCACATGGTATAGTCCCCCCTCCCCCTCTTACTGAGATGAATGAATGAGAGAGAGTGGTAGAGTGAGGTAGAGTCACAGCAGGAGAAACATTCCTCTGCAACCAGTTTATTCTGCCAGTTCATACTGGTTCATTTGCACTGAAACCCGAAGCCCAGTTACTCACAGTCTGACTCCAGTCTTAGGTTTAGGTTTTTACCTCCAGTTTGTCCCAGTTTGGCTCCAGTTGAACCGGTGGCTGCAGAGATGAGGCTGCTGCTGTTGTTGCTGCTGATGGAGCGAGCTGCAGCTCAGCAGAGAGGTGAGGCACTTTCTTTTCACTTTACTGGTTTCCACTGACTTCTGATGAGTACTGCTGAGTTTTACTGTAACACTGAGGAGCTGGAAGCTGTGTCTTTATTGTCAGCTATTTGTTACCAATGATTTATATAAACTCAGACTGTCTGCTCAGTTCAGCTCAGAGTCAGAAACATTTTAACAAACTCTTCAGTTTTACTCCATGTCAGTGGTTTATACATCTGATTATTTTTATCTTCTGGACCTGATCAGTTGTTTGCGTTGAATGATCTGAAGCTTAGATGTTAAATGTTTACCAATCATGAATGTAATCGTATCTACAATAGTGTTTTTTTAATCTGTGCCAAGGTTTATCACAAACTGGTTGAACTACAATATGTGAAGGCAGAAATTATTAATAATTTAATCACTTTATGTTCTGTTCATTTATTGATTGAACTCCATATCTGGAAGCAGCAGTAAAGTTATTTAACCCTTTAATTTGATGCAGAAAGATCCTGAGCTAACCCTGTTAGCTCTGTTAGCTGTTAGTGCCTGTGGTAGAGCTCAGATTTATTGTTGTTTATTGAACAAATAAAATCGATTTTAGATAGTTTTTGTTATTTTGGACAAAGTTAAACTGGTAAATAAACAGAAATGATGGTTAAACAAGAAAACAGATTTCTGTGTTGGCCCTTAGCTCTGTCTGACAGGCTGGGGTTAAAGCCCTTTCTAGTTTTGTGCAGGCAGTGCTGAACTGTTGGCACAAAGATTTAGTCTTTATCTGTGTTGAGTCCCAGTTTCTTTTACAGGTTTACATTTGTTCTGGTTTCACTCAGGGACATATTCTCTGTCACCTTACTGTGGTGTATGACTGTAAATGTTCTCCATCAAGTCTGAGATAAAACCTTTGCATTTTAAACAGAAGCATTGGTTTTACCACACAATGAAGGCAGGTCACGAATCTGATCAGTGCATGTTATCAAGATATTGATGAGGGGGGTCAGACAGATGGACTGCATGCCCTGCTGTGTCTGTGGGGGGGTCAGAGGTCAGCCTGTCATTGAACGATATGATTGCATTTGTGATTGGTGGAGAGTCTGTAATGACAGCATCACCTGAAGGTTGAACCTGAAATTTAGAAAGAACAGACACTAAAACCTCTGATGTGACATGACCCTAGAATCTGATAGTTTTTCAATCATTCTGATCTCTGCTGTGCAACCTCTGAGCCCCAGACCTGATCAGATACTGATAGTTGGCAGAACACATCATCATATTTAACTTTTTTAAATTGATTGTTGAAGTTAAATATGCTTATTTGAATTGAATTTCACATTCAAACCTATGAGATGCCTTGGCCTCACTGTGATTCACATGCTGTTCAAATTAGGCAGATTCAAAGTGTAAATAAAAGCTGTGGTTTCACTTCAGTTAACCCTTATGGGTTGCTTTAATAAACTGACCTTATTAGTTGCTAAAGCCAAAAAATGGCCTCTTCCAAAACCAGCTCTAAAAATTTCATAAATTCATATTTTTTTCCACTTTAAATTACCCAGTCTTTTAAAACTACTTCTGCCTGAACTATAAATATCAAATATGAATTATATTTTTGGAGTTTTTAAGCCTTTAAAGGTGAGGTATGTTTACATAACCCCACTGTTTTCTATGAGAAAAAAAACAAAAAAACTAAAATAATTTCCAAAAAATACATTTCAACCAGCATTTTTTAAATTATTATTATTAGACCCTGAGATGGGTCAATGATTAGCAGCAACAGTGATTTTGATGCATTGTTTTGTTTTTTGCAGTGGCAGATTTACACAGAAACCATCCAGTTTTCCTCTACCGACATAAATCCCCTACTTCCCTGGAAAGATGAATGCTGAAAGACAGTGACACAGAGAAAGAGATAACATATGTCTCTGTACAGGAAACAAATTCCTTGTGTGTGTAACATACAAATAAAGGTTATTATCCTTATTCCCTGTCTCTGGGCCAGGGTGCTTACTCAAGCAGAGGAAATGGTCTACATGTCTCAGTTAAAGTGGTTAAACTGCCAGTAAGGGCGCAGTCAAGACAGTGCTACAGCACAGCACACAACATGTTCTTTTACTGCTTTGTCTTCCCCTCTTTGCTAGCTTGACCACCACAGTGCGCTCTCGGTATATACAGTATTTCGGGCAGGCAGTGAAATTTGGCATAAAGATTAAAAAAAGCGTAACATTGCTAGCTAGTATGCTACAAAGTTTATTTTGATCAGGTACAGAGAAGATACGGTTTACACGCATGCTGAATGAACAGTGGACTGATGTTGAAATCAGATGACTGCTTGTCCTCCATGCTGAGGAATGATCGAGTACCTGCCTCATGATTTCATGGTGTTGGATATCTCATGACTGTGGTGGCTGTACCTGGCTAGGCCCTGCTATGTTTAAACAGTCCTGCCAGGAATTTCATGCACAGCAGCTCTTTGTCTGAATGCCAGAAAAGCAATTGCTATGCAGCTACATGTAGCCTGCAAATTCCTAGGTACCATGTCTGAAAGGGGCTCCTGACTGTGAGATGTGACAACAGTGCAAACTGAACACCTTTTATTCATCCTGTTGAGAAAAAAACTTTCATTTGAAGGAGGTCCCACTTTTCATGGTCAAAGATGATTAATGTCAGAATCATATTTGTGTTATTTTGGAGGATAATAATTTGGATGTTTGTGTTTATCAGACATGTTTTGTAGTTCACTTTTAGGCAATTTTTATGAACATGATCACATGGCGCCTCATGACACAGCTTCAGGACATCTCAAGTTACTCATAAGATTGTTCCTAAGTCCTCAGTTCTTGTTCAACAAGGAAGTCGTTCCGGGTTGACCAAGGATTTTCCAGGTGTCTTAAATTGGCTGAAGTAGCTATGAGTGAGGATACATGAGACCATTATCTGAGGAAGTTTTTTATGAACTAACACGCCCCTTCATCAGAAATCATTTGGTGATTAGATGCTTCAGAAATCCATGGAAAGGACAACTCTTGTATGCATCCCGCAAAAGTTGATGCATAGGAGAGATTTAGGACACTGACTCACCTGAGGGTTTATCTGCAGAGACATCTGGAATAACAAAGAGGGCACAGTTCAGTCATGTGTCCCAACAGGCTAACAAGATGCTAACTGCTGTCTGCCTGTGTTGCAGGTCTGTTTCCGGCCATCTTAAACTTGGCCAGTAACACAGTGATCAGCAGCAACGCAACATGCGGCAATCCAGAGCCAGAAGTTTACTGTAAACTGGTTGAGCACGTCCCAGGACGAAGAATCAAGAACCCACACTGTGCCAAATGTGATGCCAACTCCATCCTGTCCAAAGGTACTCCACCAGAACCATAGATAGACATAACACTTTGATCCTCCCAAAGGAAAACCGTGAGATGACTGTGTTTTTACACATTGGAGGGAAAGACCTGATTGGGTTACATCAGCATTTTTAAACAATGTTCCTTTTAACATAAAGTGCTCCTGCTTTCCTTCTTTATCAAAGTAAAAGTAGCCAGACTTAAGCATGTGCAAAATCCTGGCATGAATTGCCATTGAGTGACTTTGTACAACTGCAAAACAAACAATGAACCAGTCAGTAGCAACCTCTATACAGTAAGATAAAATAAAATATTTTTGCAACAGCTGGATCTTGTAAAGAAAACAAGTCACACTTGCAGTGAAACATCAGTGCTTTAGTTCCACTAGGCAGATTTAACTTTTTCTGAACGGTGGCCAGGTTCTGTCATTGAAGCAGCTATTTTATTCTAATTTTTCCAAGGAAAGTCTTTGCTTCATTAAAAAATTAAGATATCGACAAAAAATGATGTTGTCTCTATTACTTTTTTGTGAGTTGAGCAGAGAGGAGACTCACACCACCCCGCATCCAGACTGCTAATGAATCGTGCATGCGCAAAGCCTCCGCTGAGCCCGGATAAAGGAGGAGGGTGAATTGATTAAATTTGATATTCTAGCATTTACCAATAGAGGACAAAATTGATTTATGTAATGTGGGTCTAGACAAAGCATTAAAGTCATGAAGTTATTTTGAGAAGTGATGACCTCTTTAAATAGCAAAATAAAAAACAAGCAATCAACAGAAGAAAGTTCATTTGTAGCACTAAACATATTTAGGGTGTTTTTACTCACTTTTTGTCTCTCCCATGGCATTATTCCTCTCTTCTACAGTGTCCATTACAATTATATGCAAGTAGAATTTTATGCAAATTAGGCGATGACGTCATTTAGTGACTTCTGGCGACTTTTAGGACAGCCAATAGCTACTTTCCTTACTGAGGAGTTGGTAACACTGAGTGGCCTGCTTAAAATAGCGAGTTTTCAAAATACACAGGTATTAAAGTGCTAGGCCATGGCTAAAACTTAAACAGTCAAAATAGGTTAGGCCTCAAAAGCCTGCTTAAAATAATGGGTTTTTAAGGCTGACTTAAAGGCCACTAATTCACTTTCAGCCCGTAGTTCTATAGGAAGAGCATTCCACAGTCTGGGGCTGAAAATGGAACAGGATTGGTCGCTCCATTTTTTATAGTGGGATTGTGGCACCGCCAGCAACGAATGATCAGGGGAGTGGAGAGCTCTACTCGGCACATAATTTGACAGCAGGTCAGATAGGTAAGCTGGGGCGAGACCATGAATAGCCTTAAAAACAAACAATAGGATCTTAACTTTGATTCTAAAGTGGATCAGAAGCCAATGAAAGTCACGAAGAACCGTGGAGATATGGGCAAACCTGTGTGGTAGTGGGAAACGTGCAGGACCCAATAAAGATGCCTGGAGACCTGGAGTAGCTTCGAAAAATTCTTTATTTCATGCAGCATGGAGAGAAGTCGGACACAACTTAGCAGTCGCGCAGAGTTCTCCATCTGACTGGTAAAGAGGCAGGCCTTTTATACCAAAAGTGATACAATACACATCTATAAAACTCATACCATTGTCTCATATCTAACAACCCACATACCGTCTCCAGCTGTCTTTGGTGTCTGCATCTCTCCACGACCAGACAGCCAATTCACATTTTGACAAAGACAAGTCGGCTTGTTTTGCATTCACACACAGACCCACTTAACATATTACAAGTTCTGCTTTATCTTGGGATGTCCTGCAGAGACCGGGGCCCGACATCCTGAGATGACCACTTGGCCAGTTTAACATACAAATTAACATCACACATACACCCGGTGTAGATCACAGTCCAGCAGGGAGGTGTGATCTCCTGCTCACCAAATGATCAGACATCCACACCTGGGAGCATTTGACAGCAGCCGAGCTGCGGCATTTTGGACCAATTGTAATCTTTGAAGCAAAGTCTGGGGTACTCCCACATACAAGGCATCGCAATAATCCAACCGTGAGAAAATAAACGCGTGAATAGCCTTCTCCAGATCTCCATGTGACAGAAAAGGTTTAACCTTCGTTAACAATCTTAGATGGAAAAAGCAAGACTTAACCAGTGCCCTAATCTGTTTCTCAAAATTAAAGCTACTATCATTTATTATTCTGAGGTTTTTCACGGTATCAGATAGAGGGAAAACTGAGGTGCAAAGGTTGACTACATCTGGTGACAGGTCAGAACTAATAAGAATGTATTCAGTCTTGCTCTCATTCAAATGCAGAAAATTTAGAGCAAGCCATTGTCAAGCAATTATGCAGCGGGGTAAGAGCATTGGAGTCAGATAGGAGTAGTGGCATATAAATCTGAACATCATCAGTGTAAAAATGAAAATGAACATATTGGCTAGATACAATTGCCGCAAGAGGTGCAATATATAATGAAAAGAGTAATGGAGCTAGGGTCAAACCCTGCAGAATGCCTGAAGTGAGAGGAGCTGTATTTGAGACGCAATCACAATACTAACCAAAAACGTTTGATTGGTTAAAAAGGAAGAAAACCAGTTTAAAGCAGTGCCTTTAAGCCTGACGAAAAATTCAAGTCTCAACAAAAGAACACAATGCTCAACAGTATTGAAAGCTGCAGATAGATCCAAAAGAACTAAAAGAACAGGACACTTGGTATCAAGTGATATCATTATGAATCTTCAGTAACGCTGATTCTGTACTGTGGCGGGGCTTAAAGCCAGATTGAAACTTGTCAACAATATTTAAACAATCTAGGTGAGACTGCAACTGGGTGAATATGTTTTTTTCCAGAATTTTTGCCAAAAAGGGTAGGTGGGAAATAGGATGAAAAGACAATAATAGAGAAGGATCCAGATTAGGTCTTTTAAGGAGTGGGCGAACTATCGCGTGCTTAAGAGAAGTCGGAACCACACAGACAGAGATTAATAAATGTGACCGGGGAGGGGCCAAGAATGTCAAAAACCTCCTTGGTAAGCTTGGCAGGAAGTGGGTCAAGGGGCGAGGAAACTGGTTTTAAGTGAGCTATGGCGTCTTTTAATTGAAATAAAAAAATCGGACAAAAAGAATTAAGAGTGTGTAATACGTCAGATCCAGGCTGTGTATCCACCAAGGGCTTAGGCATATTATGCCTAAGAGCCCCAACCTTATCGCTGAAATATCTTAAAAATTGATTACAAAGAACAGGCGAACCCTCATCTATAGGCAATGCACCAGCTGGATTAATAACAGAATGTATAGTTCTAAAAAGGACTCTCGGGTTATGACTGTTTGTTGCTATAATGTTAGATAGGAATTGAGTTTGGGCGTCTTTTACAGCCTCCTGGTATGCTAGGAGGCTGCCTCTTAGGATATCCAGGGAGACATGCAATCTGTCTTTTTTCCATTTGTGTTTGGCTTGCCTGCAGCTCCTCCGCAATGCCCGAGTGGAGTCGTTAAGCCAAGGAGTAGTCGTGTTGCCAGCCTTTCTCATCCTAACAGGTGCAACGGAGTCGATGATCCGGGCACAGATTGAATTTAGTGAGGAGAGGAATACCTCAGGGCAACTCGGAGGATGATGATCCACTAGAAGTCAGAGTCTAAAAACGCAGCAGAAAAGTTGGAGGGGGTAGAGGAAGTAATAATCCTGCGATGCAGCCATGGGGCCACCGGTCTAGGCAGCCTTATTGGTAGCGAGACTCCAAAATGAATAAGGAAGTGGTCAAATATTGCTATATTTGACATGTCCTTAATAACAACAGATAGACCCCGAGAGATGACAAGGTCTAATGTGCCCCCCTGCGTGTGAGTGGGACATACTACTGACTGATGAAGGTCAAAGGAGTCCAATAGTGCTTTAAACTGGTTAATAAGGTGGTCAGGCGAGGAGTTAGCTTGAAGATTAAAATCCCCACAAATCAACAAACAATCATCCTGTGACATAAAAGCAGCCTAAAACTCTTCAAGTTCGTGGATAAAGTCCTTCGATTTAGGAGGTTGATAAATGACTGCACATAAAATAAGGCAGTGCCGAGATAAAACAAAAGTTTGTAGTTCAAAGCTAGAAAAAAACCATGTAGGGCATGAGGCGACATTTAAAGATTGGCTTAAAAACAGATGCCAGGCCATCGCCTCGATCAGTAGGACATGAGGAGTTAAGAAAGCCGGTAAAAGCTCAGAAAACAGTGTGTTATCCCTTCGTTTTAGCCAAGTTTCCGTGATGAAAAACATATCTAAATCGTGAGTGGTGATAAGATCATTCAAAATGAAAGGTTTGTTGTTAAGTGATCTTACATTAAACGAGGCGAACTGGAGCAAGCTAGGCTGAGCCTGAGGGCATACTGTGCGGGACACTGGGCGAAGATTGGAGTGGAGACAGCGTCATGTAGAGCGTTTCACCAAACGAAAGTGTGGAGGAGGCAGGTTGGCCTCTAAGCCTACTGGTTGAAGAAAGCAGTAATTTAAAGTAAACCATCTTGACGACCATCTTGAATCGAGCGATGTTCCTGGAGGTATTCCGTCCCCTGTGACAGGTTCAGAACAGATTTCAGCTTGACATGCAGTCCTACTCTCCTGCTTTGTCATCTCCGTCAAAACCTAACAGATGACGGATGACACAAATGTCGCAAAAAAGGTGGTACAAATGCTAGCGGAGGTGGTGGAGGGTCAACTTGCCGACTACAACAGCAATTTGAGCCGCTACTCATTGAGTAGCGTATTTCAAGCAGCATCACACGATCATACACCAAGGTAGAGAAAACAGAAGGGACTTCAAAAGACACACAAAAAAACAAATACACAGGAAGAGTAGATGGCTGGCCAAACACAGCGGCATCATCTTGCCATCGACCCAAACAATATATGTATATATATATAAATTCCCCACTCGCCCCCCACTTTGGGGCGGTCTTGTATTCCTTCCTTCGAGCTTGGGCCCTCTACCAGAGGCCTGGGAGCTTGAGGGTCCTGCACAGTATCTTAGCT